GTGGTGGGAGGGGAATTCGGGAGTTTTCTCAGGGAAGAAAAAGTTAAGGTCAACAGCTGAAAGAGGTTATTGAAGTATTGACAGAGGAGGAGCAGGGACGGTATAGTCCTCTCCAAGAGTGGGAAAGGAATTTACCAGGTGCTCATCAGTGTTGCAATCTTATTCGACATTTATGCCGTCAAAGTCAAGTCAGATTAAAAGTCATATTACTTTTTTCAGCAGGCTTCAGCTGCTTTAGTGCAGGCAGGCGGAGGTTAGGTAGATGATGGTGTTTAAGGAACATTGGAATTTAGCCTGAGAAAGAGAGCCAAAGAAGTTCGGATTCTTTGCAAGAAACTAATGATAATGATGAACCATTAAATGCAGGTTTAACAAAGAAGGAACCAAGGATGAAGGCAAGGTTGATAGAGAGTGTAAAAGTGAGAGTGTGTGCATTGGAGATCTTCAGGCAAAGAACTATTAGAGTAGGAATATTTGGAACATGGTTGTTGGAATATTTGGCACATGATTTGGAAGTGGTACTGAGGGAGAAAAATGCTGGAGATCAAGCTTTCAGAGGTAATACAGCTTCCGGGGATGACAAGCTCAAGAGTGATGACCGAGGTGGCAGAAAAGAGATTTTTGGACTGAGAACCTGGGATCTTTTGACTGAATCAGGGTCTTGATGGCTCATCCAGGTGGAAGTGACCTTTGACAAGAACTTTAGAGATGGTTTGGGGGCCAAAATGGTGGTGAGAAATCTGAGCGCCATTACGTTTCACTGGAGACAATTCTTTAAATTTTTTTTAATGTTTATTTATTTTTGAGAGAGAGACAGATTGAGATCAAGTAGGGGAGGGGCAGAGAGAGAGGGAGACACAGAATCCGAAGCAGGCTCCAGGCACTGAGCTGTCAGCACAGAGCCCAACATGGGGCTTGAACTCACAGACCAGGAAATCATGACCAGAGCCGATGTTGGACACTCAACCACCTGAGCCACCCAGGAGCCCTGAGACAATTCTTTTTTTTTTTTTTTTTT